AATGATTTTGCAACCAATCACATCAAAAATCAGGCAGAAGTTCTGTATCCTGAGGTTAATGATTTTATCATCCAGGGGAGGTTCACAGGTAAACTTTTGGTTCTTGCATCTGAGAAAGTTTTCAGTCTTATTTCTACACTTGAGCTTTAGTTTTCAGGTTGTAACTCTCAAAGATACTTCTAAAATAAAAGCCCACTAACTAAACCATCTCCCCAGTGACTTAGAGTGTGAACGATTTCTCATTATGACCGAGCAAAACGTGATTATGATGCCCTGTTGTCACAGCAATGCCCACACTCAAAAGATTGTTAATGAGAAATAGAAGAGAGAAGTGTTTCTTACTCTTGGCTCTAAGGAGTGGAAGCTAGAGGAAACCACAAAAATCAAGGTCTAAGTGATAAACTGTAAATGATGGGCAGTGAACACTGTTTATATGTAATCAATTTTTTCTGAGTAATGGGCTAAGCAGTTCAACAAGTTAGTATATACTGAATCAACTTGATTCCTACTTACCCCTTTGAGTGTGACAAGTGTTTTTTAAGTTAACTGCTTATGAAGTACTTCAAGTATGATGAGACATGCTGAGAAATCATCTTTCTCCAATTCCCACCTCTAGCAAATCTATCCATGTTGATTCACCGCCTAGTTACACTTCATTCAAAATTCACACTTGTCCAGTAATGGTAGAAAGATCAAGCCTATACATTCAAATGTTCAAAGTTTCAATCATAGAGGCCTCCAGCTCAAAATTTCAATCTATTGCTACTTGAATCTTCCTTCCCTTTCTTCCCTCAGAGCAGGGTTAGTTATAATCTTAAAAGGCTTAACTTTAATGAAAGGATATACATGTACTGTACAGTCTTTAAAATTTCTCATTTCATCCTTCTTTCTTGCTTCTATTACATAAGGAGAAAGAAAAATTAGAGGAGAAAAGACCCAAATAATTCTATACAAAGTAGTTCTGCAAAGGTCTCCACCCTTCACTTGGTACACGTGGCATCTGTGTACTAAAAATCCAAATCATGTGCTCCAAACACCACCAACCTGATTCCTTCAGTAATCTGTGCAGGAGCACCCCACGCACCAGGAGCCTGGAGCTTGTGATTATTCTGGTTTGAACTCTTCGAACATCTTCCTCATTTCCCATGGAAGGTGTCAGAGACACTTGGTGGAACTTTAGGTGGGGCATCTGCAGAAAGGGCTGAGCCTGACAGCCTTCCACCTGTTTTCTAGGCCACCTGGAATAGCACCTTTGCCCACTGCATAATCACAGCATCCACTCCTTCCCCTTCTCCCATCAGTCCACTCTTGCTCCCTCCAGTCTCCCCACTTCTACCTCCATCTGCTCAAGATGAGCACAGGGCAGGTCCCCAAGACTATTGAATAAGGAAAGTGGAACAAGGAAATAGACTTGGATCTTTCTACCATTACTTTCTCCAATGGAATGGTCCCCAGATGCAAAAGCCCACGCGGTTTCCTCTCATGGACAGACTCTAATCAAGAGTGGGAAGCAGGCAGCTGGAGTGGCTCACCCACATCATGGTCCGTGTGGTGAGCAGGCTTTCCCAAGGAGTGACCCCCACCTCATCACTGAGTCTTCATCTCTATGGCTGTCGCAGAGCGTTGCTGTCCAGGCCCCTTCACTGCGGGGCATGATAAATACTTTTGTCCCATGATCACTGCTCTCTTCTTTCTATTGCTGCTCCATTTGGAGGGGGTGGGGCTGCATGAAGCACAAGAGAAGGGGGGAGGAGTGAAAAACGATGGAACCCTTCCCTCCTCCACGTCCCATGGGCGAGGTCTGGATGGTGCCAGAGCACGAAAGATGAGAGGAGAGACGATTTCAAAGTCTTAATCACAATTAGTGTGAACTTTGAATGGGCTTTAAATCTGGAAGTTGAGGGGAACGCTTTGAGATCTGCTTGGATTATTATAAAAATGGAGAAAGTAGGATTAATGGAGTAAGTTTCCTCGCTGGAGTAAAGATAATAGGAGAGCCATTTTATGTTTTTTATTTACCAGACTTAAAATATCCCATAACTGGGGACACATTCAATGGACCACAGTTCCTAACTAGATGGAGGGCAAGATGGACCTGTTGACTAGAATCTTATTCTTTAGGGTTTATTTTCTTGAATATTTGAAAAATTCCCGTCAGGCCACATAGAGATCTCATTCAGTGTTAGAAAGCCCATAATTGAAGTACCGTGTAAAATAATCTCTATTCATCCTTAAATTTCCCCTGTATAAGCTTACCTGACCAAAAATCAATTTATTCTTGATGAAGTTTTCCTCAAAATGTGATCACTTAATTTCTGGGTCAATATTCAGATTTACTATCCAACACTAAAAAGTAGTGTGGCTCCTTTGTCAAAGATGAGGTGGCTGAGTGTGTCTGGAGTTGTTTCTGGAGCCTAACAGAACATTCTAGTAAGGGGGCAGTGCCTAACAGAACATTCTAGTAAGGGGGTGGAGCCTAACAGAACATTCTTGAAAGGGGACAGAGCTTAACAGAACATTCCTGAAAGGTCACCCAGTTCAAACAGCTGCAAAACATTTTGATCCTTTGGGCAGGAGCACTGCCCAGCCCCACAAAGTGTTTACATTCCTGGAACAAAACATTCTGAGGGAAAAAAAATGGAGTCAAGGCAAGGGAAAGGCAAGGGCTACCTTATTGTGTATTGTTGCTCTATCACCAGACCTACATAATGAGACCTTGCCCCCCCCCAAAAGTAATTTCATACTGAACCTTATTAACATATACAACTGATACATGTTAATTTTTTTTTTTTTAAAAAGTGTTTTCAAGGTGCTGGGGATTTAGCTCAGTGGTTCAGCCGCTTGCCTTGCAAGCGCAAGGACCTGCGTTCTATCCCCAGTAGCAAAAAAAAAAAAAAAAGTGTTTTCAAAATAACAAATGAAAAAAATATAGCCATTAAACTCAGACAAGCACAAAAAGAAAACCAGAAAGGCTCCCAGAAACAGGGACCAGAGTGATCCAGCTAGTTTAAGACAAAATGGATCATCAAATATCACATGATTACTTCATGTCCTAGAAGGCAGTGCAGAAAGGATTTTAAAGTTCTGAGAGATTTCTTTTTGAACCAGAATTCTAATTCTACTTACAAATATAATGACTGGGAAAATATTATAGGGTCCTTCATAACTAATTCAAAAATGAATGTAGTATAGTTATACTAGAGCAGGAAATAGAAGGTCCTGTACCTATCAACTCAGGCCAAAATGGTCTAAGGGAGGACAGTTGAGGCAAAGTTCACACAGGAGAGGTTGCATACGACCTCTTGTTGGAGCAGTGAGGGTAACCTCCAGGCTCAGTCCTGGCTCTGTGATCACCCAGGCGCAAGAGCATAATCAGCCACCTCTGTCATCACAAGCCTGACTCACATGGCTGAAGACACATCCTGCACCTACAAAAGGATGCTTGAGCTCATTCTAGAGGTATCTTTTCATTCCAGTACTTTGTGTGTCTGTCATCATAGTATGATGATTGCTTGACAAGGAGAATATGGGAAAAATAATGCTCTTAGTTTGCAAATTTTCTGTCCCTTGAATTCGAAATCCAACAACCTACATTTAGAGAGGGAGGCTCTTTCCAGAAGGCAGTTCAAATAAAACCAGGATGAGCCACCTGGCTCCTAAAAAGTGGGGAGCTACATAAAAAGGCACTCAGAATCTTTTTCTTTTAAAATTTTCTACATAAAAAATAAAGAAAAATTTCCAAGATATGTTTAAATACATGAGGTACTAAAGCTACATAACATTATAAACTTGATCACAGTTATTCATAAAAATTAACTGGCATCTACAGAAAAAAGTTACACGCAATTTGAACAATATTTAGTGAAATGAAGCATGTGAGTGTGCCAGTGTCATTTGAGAACAGGTTCAAAGGAATCAAATGACCATAGCATAAAATAACAAGATGATGGTTTCACTTGGTGTGTGGACAAATCTTGCCTTACTACTTACAAAGTGTATTTATCTGAATGATCCTCCTTTGAGTCTTAAGGGGAAAAAGTTTGGACAATAAGAACACTTTTCAGTGTAGTACATAGGAATGAGTGAATTTTATAGATTAAGTTGTGGAATCATGTCAATTATTCCTTCCAATGTCTGTGTCTTTCTACAGAGCTTTGTTAATACTTTCTATATGATAATCAAATTGTTCTTCTGAATTAATTTATTTAAAAATTGTTCTCCAATAGCTCAAAGCAATTTGACTTCCGTGGCTGGCCTCATTCTCCTTTGGAGGGGAGGAATATTTTAAAGTGACCTTACTTATGCTCCAAATCCCATGGTCTGCACATCTGTTCCATAATTAGTAAACTCTGAATAGGTGTGGTTATTTAAAATGCTAGTTTTCTTTTCCATTGCAAACAAATGAACTAATATTATAACTAATATATCTATTTCTTTTTCAAAGCTCTAAAATTCTCTTTTGGAGATGTACATCTGATCCCCATGTGGGCTTCCCCTGGCTTCTCTGAACAAAGGACCAGCACATCTCAAAGTTTCTCTTAGTTCCATTCACATTCTATTAGGAAAACAAAATAAAAAGAATGGAGAGATGATATATGCTGGGGCTGAACTATTATAAAGAAACAGACACCAAGATTTAGAATTTAAAATAAACTATATCAAGTCTTTACAAATATTCTCTTAAATTTTCTAGAGGATACTACAAGAAAATGCTTTCTAACCAGATAAATATGGGACAGGTCAGAGAAGCTTATAGCCAGGACCACAGAGATAAAGGGCAGAGTTGGCACTGAGGTCATGTTCCTTCCATTACCATTAGGTTTAATGTAATATTTACCAAGGATCAATGCACCCACATGATACCTAGATTCCATTTGTGTCAAAGTTGAGGTATAATTCAATTATTTCACATTAAGACATTTTGCATATGGATGATCTTTCCTTTTCCCCTTGATGAATCTGTTGTGAATCTTGTCAATTCCCCAATCAAAAACAAGATCCTACTCAGGAAACAAGTTTATTGAGGAGGAATTCGCTTTCAAAACTTTGCCAGTGACAGTTAGTTTGATGGCTTTTTGAAACCAAGGGTAAAAGAAAGCATAGATCAAGGGATTCATTGCTGAGTTGTAGTAAGCGATCCAAACTAATATCTCATACACATATGTAGGTGTGATGAAACCCAGGAAAGCATCAATGATGGAATCAATGAAATATGGCAACCATGAAATCAGAAATGCTATCACTGCGATTCCCAGGGTTGTTGTAGCTTTTCTCTCCCTCTTGGCCACCCTGTCTTTGTAGCTGTCGGATGACTTCGCAGTCATATGGCTCAAACTTTCAATTTTCCTAGCCTTTTGTTTAGCAATAAGGAAAATCTTTGAATAAACAGTTATCATCACAAGTGCAGGGATGAAAAATAAGGAAAAACTGACCAAGACCCAGTTTTGATTCACTGCAGCCTGACAGCCTCCCACACAGGTGAGAGCACTCACTAATTCCTCCAGCCCAGCTTCATTTGCCCCTGTGTAAAAAAACAGAAAAGCTGTAGACAACAGCAAGCAGCCAGGAGAAAGCAATACACATGCCAGATACAGAATCAGTGAACCTGGTTGGATAGACCAGAGGGTCAGTGACAGTGATGTATCTATCAATGGAGATAAAGCACAAGTGGAAGATAGAAGAATAACAGAAGGAGCCATCAAAACAGGAGTGGAATTTACAGTAAGCGTCCCCAAAGTACCAGCAGCTCTCCACAGACCTGACCATGCTGAAGGGCATCATAGTCGCCCCCACCAAGAAGTCAGCACAGGCCAGAGAGGCGACCAGAAAATTGGCTGGGGAGTGGAGCTGCTTGAAGTGCAGGATTGAAGTCATCACCAGCAGGTTTCCAAAGACAGCCAGCACAGCCCCAGAGCCAAACACCAGGTACAGAACCAGGCGGGGGCCTGGGGAGTAGGGAGCTTTGACACAGGATCCATTCCAGTTCTCATAGCACAGCTGGACAGCTGCAGGAGGGGTCAAGTCTCTGCTCATGGTTCTGTTTTGATACCTAGGAACATTGATGTCTCCTTGAACAAGTATGTCTTTACTGTTTTCAAAAATCCTCAAAATAAAGATATAAATTATTATGAATATATTGACCTTTGCTCTTTATGCCCACAAATCCTTATTCCCATGTTTACAAACTGATTAATATTCTCATCTAGTAAAACTATTACTTTTCTAACTTTCATTATTATGTGAATTTCTGTTTATTTCTATTATATGGGAGTTTCTCCACATTATTACCTTCAATGTATCTGAGAAACGGCCTGCTGTATGATTCATATTCGATTGCCAGATTTTTCTCTTGTAATGCACCCCCTGTTTTTTGGTACAGGGGATCGAACTCAGGATCTTGTCCTTGTGAGGCAGGCCGCAGCACCACTGAGCTAAATCCCCAGCCCTGATTGTCAGCTTTTATTGGCATTCTTATGCTAATTTAACAAAGCTACTGACTGCCCCAAACACTGTTCCCTCGGGGAAGTATGGAGTTTAATTATTGCAAACCGCTAACGCCCCTAAGATTGAATCCCATAGTGCAGAGTGAGGCAAGTAAGCAACTTTTAAATAACTGCTGTGTTCATGGCAAAGTCCAAAATATGCCCTTCTAATGTGCTGATGCCATTTGATGTTTTTATAAAATAGAATTGGAAATAATATGTGTAATTGTAAATCTTTGTTTAAGAATTTCAAGCCGATCGTGTTCAATCTGATTAATTTTTGGAGATTGTCTTTTCATTTTGTGAGAATTGTTTATTAATAGTCTCACGTCAAGGATCACTAAAACTCTTTCATGTAAATGGTTCATGCCTTCCTGCTCTGATTTGTATTAAAGAACTAAAGTGCAGTTGTGCAGTAATACCTAGACTCTTTCAAGTTTAGTCTTAATAATTCCAATTTGGAAAAGTGGGAGAATAAATGTATTTTCCTCATGGACTTAAAGAAAAGAGAAATTGGAATGGAAGTAATATCTTCTACATTTTGTTTCTTGAGTTTTGTTGTTGTTGTTGTTTAAATGAGAATAGTTGGAAAGTTTTTTAAAATATAGAAGAATTTTCAGAACGAGGATATTCTAGTATATGACACTATTTTACCATTGACAAATTTCTTTGTCCCCTTAGAAGCTAGATGAGAACTCATCTTAGCCTTTTTTTTTTTTTGACAGTTTGCCCAGGCTGCCCTGGTTAGGTGAAAAGGTTCCTCCTACCTCAGCCTCCCCAGTACGGGGAAGAGAGTCCTGTGCACCCACCTGGCTTCTATCTTTGCCTTTGATAAGACTTTTCTGACATATAACTTCTGGACATTTTCTGTAAGAAAATTTATTAAATTAGAATTTCCTACTTTTAATATTTTATACTATAGAATGTAAAATTACTTTCACTTTGGTCTTAAGAACATGCTCAATGCCTTTAAGTAACACAATATGCTGTGTTTTAATAATTTCCAATCTTATAGAGCAAAAAATATAATATGTCAAATATAACGATGGAATTGCAAAGACAATAAATATATGTTCATAGTCATACCAGTAATTTTTTCATTCCTCTATTTATTTGTAAATTGTCCACTTGAATATTAGAAACATTTTCTTTTTATCTTAAATTTTCAAGAGCACTTTAAGGATCAGTTTTTCATTGTCTGAATTTAGGATGTACAAAATGATGCTTTAATATACATATACAAAGTATAGTGATTCTTAAAGTTATTTCACATATACATCACCTTCCTTGTTAATGCCTCCTTTTTCAGGGATTAGAGTATCTGCACCTTATTGTTATTTTTAAAATGATAATAATACTTTGAATGATGCAGCAAATACTTTCTCTTGTTTTGTTGTATTTTAACACTGTAAGTAAGGTTGCATTAGATCTGCATACATTCAAATGCAATATAGAAGTGCAAAGGAAACTATACTAAATATCCGAGATAATGCTGATGAATATGTGAGGTAAAGGAAAATTCTGGGATTCATAGTCATTGGAATTGATCCTGTCAGTAAACTAAAGAAATCATAATCAGAAGCCAGGAAGCAACCTAATTAAAATCGGCCTCATTTACTTGGAGTCTCCTTGGAGGCCTCAACTTATTGTCCAAAATCCTATTGGAGTAAGTTTTGCTGGTGTCGGTTTCCTGGACTCCCCCCGCCTCATTTCCAGTTCCTCACAGATCCTGACACTGAAACCTTTCTGCACTCCCAGCCCTTTGGACTGGCATCAAGCCCTGGTGTCTGTTTCCTGTCCTGCCACCTGGCACTTCTGAATTTTCTTGTTTCCCTGAGTACCACAAGGCTTGGGTTCTGTGCTGGTCCTTTTTATGTCCCTTGCACACTCTCTTCCTTTTCTTGAATGGAATGTCCCTCTTGTCCTCTTCTTCCACACTCAAAGCCCATGGACCGGCACCCACACACAGGCTCTGTAACAACTTCCTCTTCCAGGAGAAGAAACACAACCAGAAGAGATTTTCCTGTCCAGTCTCTCCTACTTCTGACTACCGGAATACCAACTGGGAAATGAAGTGAATAATGAGCAGGTGGATTATTGAGAACAGATCTGGACAAAGGAAAAGGCTGGTTCCAGAAGCCGTGTGGATTTAGAAAACCTAGTGAAGAGTGAGAGAGTTTGCAAGTTCCCATTTCCAGTGTAGCTCCTATCCTGAACAATTGGCAAGTGGTGGGCCGGGGATTTAGCTCAGTGGTTTCGCCGCCTGCTGCGCAAGCGCAAGGACCGGAGTTCAATCCCCGGTACCAAAAAAAAAAAAACAATTGGCAAGTGCTGCTGTGCTGCCTGGTGGTGTTCTGTGTCTTAGCTCACCTTTGCCTTCAGGGCCCAGCATGTAGGAAGCCGTGTCAGGGTGGCTTGCTAGGTTATGCAGCTCTCTGATCCTGGCGACAGAAGCTGCCGGACTCAGACTGGATGTTCTCATACTCTTCCTCTTTCTCGCTTGCTGTCCCTGCACATTTTTGGCTGTCCACAGTACAATTTGAAATATGTTATCCACATGTCATCCCTCAAAATTTTTTTCTTTGATGAAAATAGTTTATGAAATGCATTTTTCTTTGCTATTACTGACACAATACTTATACAAAATTATGATCGTTTGTTAGAAAAGAATTAAAAGCCTCATTAGAAACCAGTAGTACTTGTATAAGTTCAATTAGTGAATCCACAGGTAAACATAAGAAATAGGATATGCACCAATACTCTGTATAATTTAGTTTCATTGAATAGAATACTCTATATAAGTCCCAAAATGATTTTAGTAAGTCAACAGTGTAAAATATTTCAGAAGGAAAAATGGAAAATTATACCATGTATTTTTTATACTCTTTTAAAAAATTGTCCAGGTTTAGCTTACTACCTTTTAGAACTATAGCTCTAACCCTGACATAAAAACAGAGATTACAGGCATTTATTGTCCTATAATTGTTAGTTTATTTAAAGTGTAAGTGTACTTGGTGATTCTGAATTATATTATGAATATTACCTAAGACAATTTACTACTATATTCATTAAAAATTCTATATGTGAGACATCTGTTTCCAGTAATGATGAAATAGTTTCCATAGATCAATTCTCCCAGTGAGAAAGTCTAGGAGGTCTGGAAAATGTACTTTTAAAAATCCTTAAAATATTAGACATTGTTAAAAATATTCAAGAATTATTCATGATGGAGGAAAAAAGGACATTTGGAGAGGTGAATTTGAAATTTAGGGTGACTTTATTTTACACAATTTGCCAATTCCAGATGAAACACATGAATGGATGAGGAGTCAGGCAGAGCTTTGACAACCTCATCAGGTTAACAGGAAACAGAGTTTGGATCCTAAGGAGAAAGATGACCCAAGGCCACACCCACCACCAGTGCTTGTGGTTAGGCCCTGCAGCCCTAGGATTCCCTTCACATCAGAGGACAGCTTCCCTTCACATTGTCTCAGTTCTATGAGGATGATCAGAATGATTCCATATTGCTAGTTCCCCAATCTATATGCCATGAGCAAATGCAAATTGTCTCTGAGGAAGATCATATCATCTCAGTCCTTCAATTATGAAATTAATTTTTCATAAAGCATGTATCCAACTCAATAAAATAACCAGGAGCAAAAAGACTCAAGATAACTGTGTGGAAACCATAGAAATAATAAAATAAATAGTAATAAAAATATAGAAAACTCATGATGTACAATGACTAATTTGAATACATTTCAGGATTTAAAATAACCATACTAAGCATATTGAAGGTAATATTCAAATTTGGAAAAGTCAATAGAGAAGTGTGAATCATTTGGATATTGAAATTCTAGATCTGAAAATTATTGCTCTCTGCTTCTCAACCACACAGACATTGGTTATATAAAAGTCAGAATGTACAAAAATATTTTCTGCATGCTGCCTGCCCCTGGTTCTTGACTCCCATAGTTCAAAATCAATGCCAAAACTCAAGTGTGGTGGGACAAACCTGGAAGCCCAGTACTTTGAGAGGCTGACGCAGGAGGATCCTGAGTTTGAGCCCCATCACAGCAACTGAGGGACTAGGGAGATCAAGTCTAAAAACAATAAATTTATAAAACAAAAGGGTTAGAGATGTAGCTCAGTGAGTTCAGCATGAAGGACCTGGCTTCAGTCCCAGGGCTGAAACACACACAAACACGTGCACACACACCCCTACACACACAATGTGCCCCCTGAACTTCAGAGGATCTTCATTTGCCCTGGTAAGAGTGAACACCACACCATTGAGTGTGGAAGTGCCTGGAGAAGCTGAGTCTTTGCACCTGGGCTGCAGACAGTGGAACCCATGGCACCAGGGGATTGGACAGCTGTAGAGGTAGCTCTGTCATGGTGAGTTGTTCAGTGTGAGATCAAGGGAATCTGAGGACATGTGACAAATGCTCTAATAAGAAGCCCAGGGGACAAGGAAGAAACCAGAATTAAAATTAGAAAGTGTTCGTTGAATGGGGACAAAACTATGACAAAATAAAGTGTAGCAAATATTGGGGG